AATTGGCTACCACATGTAGAATTATAATTTGGACCAATTTTTCTCTGAAGGCCACAGTTATACTTCTAACTTCTATGATCTGCTTTTAAACTGTAATTATAAAACCTGGCTCTGTATCAGTATCATTTATATACATGTATACGTATTTTAAAACTTCATATAGCTAGGCCACATTTTATACCTGTGGAATCAGAATCTCCAGAAGTAGGGCAGTGTCTATCCTTAAAAATATAATAACAGCAACAACAACACATGTATGTGTTCATTCACACTCCTACACACATAACACACATGTATTGCTGAACTGCCTCTAATGTCGAGACTTGTGCTTTAAAAGTTGTGCAACCATTTCATTATTACCGGAAACTGTGTATTTTTCATTAACATCAGTAATATTTAATGTGTTTATATTGTTGTGCGACTCTCAAAAGTTTACAAATTGCAATACTAAAGGCCCAGGATAGTTGCAGGAACTTTAGGAAGTCTAATACCTTGTTGCTGCCAATTTGTATGCATTATGAATAGAGTTAATTTGTCAAGATTCAGCATTTTAGTTTAAATTTTCACCAACCTCAAACTGTGTTAACGCTTCAAAGTTCACATCCCAGATAATCCCTGTGCTCCTTTTACACTTTTCTCAGCACATGAGCTCTTTGGTATCTTTCCAAATGTATCTGCCCATTGACTCCTGTACAATTTGCTGCAATACAATTGGGTAGGAGAGATCCCAGCATGTATTTAATAGATTAAGGACTGAAGTTTCACTTTCTTACAAATTTCCCAGTTTTGTCTGGTTCTTCTTCTGCCAATCAATCCCTTTTCAATTTGGGGGGAACTTGACTCTTTGTTTTAGTTGCAGCCTTTCCCTGAGGCTCTAGTAAAATGTTTAACATTAGATAGCAAATGTTTAACATTAGATAACTCTAGTAAAATGTTTAACATTAGATAGCAAAAACCCTAGTTTTTTATGTGGCTTGCAGATTTCGAGCTCCACCTTCTATTAGTCAGAATCTTATCTCACTCTATGCCTGAGTTTCAGTGAGCAGGCCTTAGACTTTTCCAAACAATTAGAATCACCTTTTATCACTCCTGTAACTCTTTCCCCTTTTCTGACCATCCCATAAATGTTTAATACTCCACATATCTGAAATCTAAAGGATAATATTAACATATTTTCTTACAGTTTATACATAGGTTAATATGTATAATATTACATCTTATAATATATAAGCAGTTTATACTTGTATACTTAAGAATCACAAGCTCAGGCAGCAAAGTCAGAATATTGGAATTCAATGGACAAAGAAGGAAAAATCCTCACAACCCTCTGTCTGCCAATCTTGTTAACAAGATACAATACTCTGATTTTCCAGGTGACTTCCTTTTCATTGGATTTGCTGGTGATGGGTGTAATGTAGGGATACCTCTGGGACCCTAGCTTGACTGCTGTTTGCCTCCAACGTGAGCTGCTTGTTCAGGAACTGCCTTGAATTAAATATGTTCTCACAAAAATATCACCAGTTAAAGCAGGATGATCCATTCAACAGCCTCTCTGTGACCGTATCTCAATAATTTCTAAATAACTGCACCAAAGTCAGGAATCAAAAGTGGAGACATGATCCCACTGATCCATAGCCCCCAGTTCGTTATTTTTCATAGACCTCTTTAAAGTTGCTATATCAAAGGTGAGGATTTTCTCACTGATTCTTTAAAATTACAATACATAAATATGTTTGACATTTTTTCTCACATTTTTCTGAAGGAAAGGTAATGCCAAATATAACTTTGGAAAATCACTTTTACACAGGCTAATTTTTATTTCTTGCTTGTGGCATCAGTGTTTTAAATTATTATCATGTTTATTACATTAGGCAAAATTTTGGTCTAGTTTTTTAAAGTGGCTTCATATGATTGAGCCCATCAGAATATAAATAATTGATAATCCTCCAAAGTGTCACCTTTTGAAAGATAGAACAAATTATGAAGGGTGAAAAATGAAGTTCTAAGCAAATCAGCGCTATGTGTAATCATGTGCAAGTTCCATTCTGGAATATTGACATATTTATATTTTTATCTTCCTTAAATTAACTGATCTCTAGAATTAATAAGTCCATATTCCTAATTTTGGATCATGTCCGTTTAACAGTCATTCTGTCTAATGAAAGTATCTATGCTGTACTATTTGGCAAGATAAGTCCATTTAGTTCCCTACAAACCTTTACATCTCAGACCTACATAAGTGCACTCAAAAACCAAATTATTTGTCAGCATAAAAAAAAAAATGGGAAATGTGACAAAATCAGTTTTATTAAGCAGCTGAGTATTTTTTGGTTCCATAGGCCCTGATAAATGTAAGCAATCTTTGCAAAGCTCATTTCACTAGTGATTGTTTGTGATGGCACTGTGATGGCTGGGCTCCACGCTCAGTAATAGGTTATGAGTAATGCATGTATAGTAGTCGCATGTCTTGACATCATAATTTGTTTATATGAGCTTTTTCACTTGTGAAATCTACTATGACCATGATTTCTAAATTTTATGTATGTGAATTTGAAAAAATTCCAGATATTCTTTCTATTATATGCTTAACAGTAGCTAATCAAAGCCAGTGAAAAGCCTAGTGAAAGGCTTTGTAAAACAGAAACCCAAAGAAAGTCTCTGCAAGCAGATAAGAAGACATAAGTTTCCTTTCCAGGCTTGATAGCCACTGGGTCAGTTACAGAGTCAATGAACTAGTTCAATAATGGGAAAATCATAGACTTTGGCATTAGGCACACTTGAGTTTAAATTCTGGCTTTACAACTTATTGTCTGGGTATGGTTAGGAATGTTGATTAACTTCTGTGGTTCCTCAATTTTTCTCACCTATGAAATTGATATAAAAATTTCTACTTCATATTTACTAATTAATTCATTTATTTATTCTACAAAAATAACCTCAGTTTTTACTATGTGCTATATGACCAAAAGCCTAAGAGCAACTGGCTTGCTTAGAGTTTAAAAATTCTCTTGGTGTATTAGAAATGCTTGTTTCTGTTGCCTGAGTTTTTTGAAGGATGAGTTGTGTTTAATAAGAATGAAGCTCAACTGCAATGTGTGCGGAATTTCTCTTTAATTCCTAGGATTTAGATGTTTCTCATATGAGCAGTCACCATTTCTTGCTCTGTTCCTTTACACTATATTAATTTAGAAGGAATCCACGGAATAGACATGTAACAGAAATTTACTCTTGTGGCAGCTCCCTAGCAATGGGATCCCCAAACAGCTGTGTGTCCAACTGTGCATTCATGCTTATTTTTTTGATATGTTGCAGAAGCTAAATCCAATGTTTAGGTGTCATGCTCTTCATCTTTCTGTGCCACAATGCCTCTTTGTGGTTCAAAAGTGCAGGGGAACATTTTCTGCCCATTATCATTGCTGGTTCATATCTCATTTGCTCTGCACTATCACCCAGAGATTTATTTTGCCTCAAACTATTTTCTTGTGTCTGTCCCACCCTCTGAGTAGCTGCATTAAGTTACTTCTTCCCCTCGTGTAATGATTTGCATTTTTACAATTTAAATCTTGGTTTTATCATTTCCTTACCACATTTCTAATGCCTCTAGGTTCTTTATTAAAATTATTTCCCTGTCCTCCCCTGTGTATGCAACATCATCCAAGTTAGTACCCTCCACAAATAAAATGTATTGCTTATTATCTTTTTCTAAGCATTCACCAAAATGTCGAATATAAATGAACTTAAAAATTTCAGCTTTGAAATGTCCTCATTTGTTTCTAAGAACCCAAACATTTGCATGTGTTGTTTTTATTTGTTTGAAGATTATAAAGCCAATATAAACATATTTAACAGGCCATATTTAAACTAACTGGAATATGGTACATCAAATTATATAGACAGAGGCAGGAGGCAGAGTACTTTCCTAGGCAGATAGGGGAGAGTCTCTGCAGAATCTCTGACCTGCTCAGGCCATTGTGCATAGGGGGCTTGCCTAAACATGCCCACAGTGAAAAACACCTTCTCTTAACACATGCATAATAAGGGAAATACATCAATGTGAACTGGCTCAGACTAAGGGCTCACATGCCCACTAGGGACAGGGTGGAGCCACTAGGAATTCATGCCTTATGCAAAGGAGGAGCTGGGCCTCTTTAGCTCATGTGTGGAAGTCCTGGTACTCCGTTGTAAGGAGGAAACCTGCTTGGAGAATCATTCTGAGAGCTTTCCTTTCGCTTAATAAATTCCACCCTCCTCATCCTTAAATGTGTCTGCATGTCTAATTTTTCCTGGTTGTGAGACAAGAACCTGGATTTAACTGAGCTAAGGAGAAAAAAAAAAAAAAATTGCATCAATATTGTATAACAGGTTACATAGTTTAAGACATAATAGATGTGTGTGTGTGTGTGTGTGTTGTGTTGTGTGTGTGTGTGTGTGTGTGTGTGTGTGTGTGTTTTCCTCTTTCACTCAGAAAATCTTTTTGTTGGACTTTTTGAAGCTAAACTAGCCTAATTCTCATGTATTAAATTTTATTTATTCCCCCAAAGTAAATATAGGTTTAAAGGAAAATACTCCAAAGGTTGATTTGCTCTTCTGGATCATAATATTGACTTTAAATAACTTTTATATGATGCTTCTTTAAGCACATTTTCACCAAATCTTCAAGAGCAATTTATGTGCGACTCGGGATTCAGTTATAACTAGTGAAGTAATTTGTCTTTGATAAACTACAATTAACTATCAATATGCCAGAACTAAATGCATGGGTTGAAATATCAAAAAAAGGAAAAAAACCTTAATTATCAGTTAGTTTTCCCTTCGGGCTGTGCAGGAAATGTTGTAGAGGCGGGTAAAGCATGTTTTGAGATCTGCTATGTATGGAATTGCCTATCTCCTGAGTATGATCTCAGTCAGTTTCTGTAAGTGGAAAATTCACAAAAGGGAATACGCCTCATGATGTTGGAAGTGACTTTAAAATTATCTAGTTCAATCCCTTGATTACACAGGTGAAGGAAAGGAAGCCCAAGAGAGATTGATGGAGAGGACCAAGGTCACACATCTGAGGAGCATGTCTGTTTCACATTATTGTTATGGACACTACCTGAATCTTCCAGGATCACTTTGTTTCCTGATTATATGTGTGCCCAAGTCACGTGTTTCTAGAACTTTTTAGGAAGGCATTACTTCATGCTAAATGTCCTTAAAACTTATCAAATTAATACCAATTTAAATCACATGCCTGAAAAATCATTTCCACATTTGTATAAAATTTTAGATCCATTTTATTAAATTTAGTAGATAAAAATCTAATTTTATCACTTAAATTTCAAAATAAGATTTTTTAAAATGCCTATCTACATGTGTTTTCAAAGCTTTGTTACTTGGCATAAGATAAACTAGAAAGCTTTAGAAGTAAAGCTGGTATTGTCTGTTTCACATTTTTTCACACCAATATCCTAATGAATGTCTCATACAGAAATAAAGAATATGACTGTGAGGGCAAATAATTCTGATTACCAACATCCTGCACAAACATCATTGTCAAGAAAGGTATAGAGATGGGACATCAGGGTCTGTTCTCAAAGCAGGAAATGTGTTTCAATAGAAATCAATATATGGTATGAAAGTGAGAGCAGCCAACACTCTCAGAAGGGTGAGCACCATCGTGATTACTCTGGAGGACACAGAGGAATAGAAAACACATTTCCTCCAAAATAAAGTTCCAGAACAATATCGTATTAAGTTCTATAAAAATGTCACTTGTATCTCTTTACAACGAGAAAAGTAAGATGAAAATAAAGGCCCCGGGGAATTTAGTTTTCCCTCTCCTTAGTGATGCAGAAAAAGCCGGGTTCTTGTGACACGACGCAGTTTTTGTTTGTTTGTTTTGTTGTTGTTGTTGTTGTTGTCTTGAGACGGAGTCTTGCTCTGTCGCCAGGCTGGAGTGCGGTGGCACCATCTCGGCTCACTGCAACCTCCGCCTCGAGGTTCAAGCGATTCCCTGCCTCAGCCTTCCGAGTAGCTGGGACTACAGGTGCGTGCCACCACACCCGGCTAATTTTTTGTATTTTAGTAGAGACGCGGTTTCACCATGTTGGACTGGGTGGTCTCGATCTCCTAACCTCGTGATCCACTCGCCTCGGCCTCTCAAAGTGCTGGGATTAAAGGCTTGAGCCACCCTACCCAGCCTACACGACTCAGATTTTAGGCACGTGGACACATTTTAGGATGAGTAGGGCAGAGTTTATTGGATGGAAAGTTAAAAAGGAAGGAGGAACTCTCAGCAAAGAGAGAGTCATGTTAGCAGGCCCCCATCTTACAGATTGAATCCCAGGCCACCACAGAGGAACTGAACAGAGCCAGGCTCCTCCCCACTGCGAACAGCGTGGACTTCCTCTGGCTCCACCCACTTCCCCCAATGCACAGGTGGTATTGTTAGAGAGAATCACTCGGGAAACTGTGGGCTTCATCCAGACCAGCAGTCCGGTTTCCCGAGTGATTCTCTCTTAACAAAGCATGTACAAAATAAATATTAAAATATTTGGTATTAACCAACAGTGTAGCTGCCTGAAACTAAAATATCTGTAAACTATAGCCGAATAAATTTTTCAAATTTAAGCACTTAATTAGCAAAGCAGCCTCAATTCTTTTAATCTAGCATAAATAATATTTTTACTAGTTAAGTACTGTTGCTTAAACAAGAGAAACACTGTTGAACTTAAACATCCCCTTTACTTTCAGTGCAAAGTATGTTTTTCTATTTAAATGTCAATCAATTTATCATTTAAATATCTATGTTTAAATATTACCAGAATTCCAGCTATAAATAGAAACATTGCTAAGTCACTTCTTACAGCTACAATATATTAATTCCAATATATGTTTTGTGAATGAACTTGCAAATAATTATACTTTTAAAGTAAAGGTGTCTTTTTTTTCTGATTTGGACAAGACAAACAAATATTCAATTCAATAAAAACATTTGTGCAATCAAATTATATAAAGTATATGACAGATTTTAATGTGGTCTCTGCCATCAATGGGCTTGCATTCTAGTTTGAAGACAAATTATAAATCATCTTCAATTTCACTAGCTAGAGAATTATATGAGACAATGCATTTAAAGTAACTAGCCAATGGTAAATTACATTAGTATTTTCTTATTTATTTATTTATTTATTTCTGAGACAAGTCTCACTCTGTTGCCCAGGCTGGAGTGCAGTGGCATGATCTCCACTCACTGCAGTCTCTGCCTCCCAGGTTCAAGAGGTTCTCCTGCCTCAGGCTTCCAAGTAGCTGGGATTACAGGCACCTGCCACCACATCCCACTAATTTTGTATTTTTAATAGAGACGGAGTTTCACCATGTTGGCCAGACTGTTCTGAAACTCCTGATCTCAGGTGATCTGCCTACCTCGGCGTCCCAAAGTGCTGGGATTAGAAGCGTGATCCACCGTGCCTCGCCACGTTAGCATTTTCTAAACAAAATCACAACAAACGAAATATGTATAAATTATAACAATATACTGCATCATATCTCTAATTTTTGTATTCTGCATAAAGTATGCTAATATCTGTATGTGGCACCAAAAGTGCTATCACATGAGTGCTGTATGAATTATGAATAATTATAAAGCTATAATGAGTTCTTGAAGAGATAATTGTGTTACTTGTCACACAGTTCATACTTTAGCTTCAAAATGATCTTTGCTTTTCATTCAATCAACCCTATTTGAAAACAGTCATTTTACTTCCATCTCGGCTGGTATTAAATACTCATTTGTCAGTGCCCTTGGTATTGTGATCTTAGCATACTTAGAGAATATGTTTGTGCTTTAAGTACCTCAACTAATGCAATAAGCAAGGTCACTCGCAGCAATAGAGACCTAACTGGAGCTGTAACCAAAGTCATACAAATAATATCTGCAAATGTCAATAATGAGACGATTGGAGAAAAGAACACATCGTGTGTGTGTGTATGTGTCTGTGTCTGTGTGCGTGCGCGCGTGTGTGTATGTGTTTGTTTGTACAAGCATTTATGAGCTAAAAAAAAAAAAATAGCTGCTAAGCCCTGTTTCAAAAGTACTCCTTTGTAATGAAATCAAGTACAGAAATTTCTAATTTTATCATTTGCTCCCCAAGAGCTGCACAACCAACCCCAGAAGGAAATCATCTCTCACATATTCTTATAATACCTTTTATTCCCTGAATGGAGCTCATTTTGGCCATCTGTATTCTAAAACAAAACACCACCACCTAAGAAAAAAATTGCAGGGCAGAGATGCATAGCTAGCATTCATCTGGAAGAGGGAGCGAGGAAAATCCTCCTCAAGTTTCTCTCATTCTCATCCCTTACAGGAATGGGGATTTGTAGACTGGGTCTCCTGAAAGTCATACCCTTGACTTCAGATTAACAATTGTTCCCCCTCCCAACCTCCTCAGGCAGGAGTATACCTCTGTATATTGATATTTCAGCAAGCCAAAAAGATGTTGCTTCCTGCTGCTCAATTTAGCTTATAAGCAATCTTCATTTTTGAGGATATTACAACTCTCCCAGATGTTCTATTAGGTGACTAAGTGTGGGACTCTCATTTCATGTATGTTTGTATATGTACATTTATATATAGGAACATTTTTTTCTCAAAATTGAAGTATATTCTTTCAAGTACAGTCATTGAATTAGATTGACTTAATTTTGTCCAAATGACTTAGGTAGAACTTTGCTGAAATTCGTATGAATAAGTATTCCAGACCATCATCCACAAACTAAGTTGTGACTCTTTAGCTGGTTTTACCATAGGAACCTGAGTTGTCTGATTTTCTTTCCATAAATCATTTATTTGTGGGTACACGTTCATCGCTTCAATCCAATGCAACATTTTGGGAGCACCTACTCTGACCATGACATTGTACAAGAGATTGAGATGACCTAATTTTCAAACAGTAAAGGATTACTTGCCATTTACACAAAACAAGCACTCTGAATATTCGTTCTATTTTCTCAGTGTAATTTTCATAATACAGCTAGACTTTTTGTGCAGTTTTAGCAAAGGTAGAAATGGAAGTTGAAGTGTAGTCGAGGTTTTGATTTCTGTGAAAGAGTGAAAACGTAGTGAAAACTAGCAATGGAAAAACTTTCAAGATCCTCTCGGGATAAATCTATAAAAGATGAGTACTTCCAACAATCACTTATAAAGCAAATGTAATTCCCAGGTTGAGAAATATAAGTACATTTATTTTTTAAATTCACTTTAAATAGACAAAAGTTGTATGTTTAGCCAGGTAGACACAGTACAAATATCTGTACCTACTCTGTAGGAAGACCCTTGAGATTCTACTTCTTTGCCAGTGGTTGCAGTTGTATTCCATTTATCATTACCTCCCCAATCTATCTATACATTTATTTATTAATAATTTACCTTTATATTAGAGTTATCTATGTACATTTAATATTGAAAATAGTGAGATTTCTTCAGAATGCTATTATTTATAAGAAATACACATTTAACCAATTTTTTATCTGCCATGACATTTACTTCGATATGGCTTTATGAACAGATATAATTTAGGCATTTCCTGGATGAATAAATCACAATAGATTTTAGAAAACTGAAAAAGATTAAAAGTGCTTCTCTACTGTGCATGAGACCTCCTTATTTTTAGAAGTATTAGTTAACTATTATATGCCAGACAGTATCTATGCTCATGATAGCAGATATCAATAGAGAAATAAAAGTTGTCCCTTATGTACTCTTTAAACAGTGTGGCATGGCTTTAAAAGCATAGATTTTGGAGTCAGACAGACCTGAATTCAAATTAGAGATTAGTCATGTTAGTGGGATAATAATTGTTTCACTTCTTTCTAGAACAAACACCTAACTTATGCTAGCAACATCTGGAAAGGTTTGCAGAAACAATCTATATTTTAAAAGAAAATAACTTTAATTCTAGATAATTATAAAAATCATCCCAAGGCCAGAGCGTATTGCAAAAGAGGCTTCCACCTTTCTCCTCCAAGTCTCACTTCAGCCATGAAGAGTTCTTACCAGATGGGTGCTGTGTAGTCTCCTCTCTCTGAATACTCTTACTCAATCTACCAGTTAGTTCTGCCCCAGCACTCTGTTCCCAACCAAGTCAAAGCACTATCCTGCAGAGATGTTCAGCCTTGGAGTGCTCTGCCAGAGAATACTTCAAATACATTTAATTTCTTCAGTGTAGAGTGCCTACAAGGGTAACTACTGTGTTGCTGCTGTGGGGCACATCTCAGAGCCTAACCAGGAAGCTTATTTTGCTACTGATGCCTTTGTCTCTTGCTTCTATCAACAAAAAAGCATTTTTTTCCCCAGGGGTTGGAGCATACACTGGTGGAGAAAATAAAGGAACTAGGTTTGAGAAAACAAAATTCTTTATTGATTACTGTACTTCAATAACCTAACATAGATGCAACAGCAATACTTTTCTCAGAGGGATATTGGGAGTACTGTTAAAGAGGATCTATAA